CCCCCGGCCATTTTCTATCTTCACAACAGCAACCCTTTGAGGTAGGTTAGGCAAGGAGAGAGCTCCAGGGTCACCTAGTGAGAGATTGCTATGACAGAGTGGGAATTTGGACCTGGGCCTCCCAGATTCTAATCTAACACTCCAACCAGTGCATTACACTGACTCTGAAGAAGATCAATAGGTCTCTCTCTGAGGTAAATGATGAAGGTGGGGTTGACTGATCAAGAGTTGGGGTGGAGGAATCTTTAGATCTTCTAGTTGGGACTTTGCCTTTAGGTGAGGGGTGTGTGTGGGTGAGTGGAGAGTTGAGTGCCATTGATTTTTTGCTAGGGTTTTAAAAAATGTATTTTATTAAAAGGGACAGATATTTCTATGTCAGGGCACTACAGAGTGCTGGAATTTGCATGTACTGATAGTGATAATCAGGATTTGCCTTCACATTTAGACATGTTGGAAAGCCCTGCCAGTACTTGACAGCTATGGCTGAGTTGAGTGGGTACTAGCTTTAATCATGATTTTAATAAAAATATATAATGATGATTTGGGGAATTCTTAAATAATGCGGTATGGGAGTACATATAAGTGAAGACTTAGGGATGTCCAGAAATGGTACAAGAGCGGCAACATGTTTGAACTACCAGTAGAACTCTCAGGAGTAGAAATGCATCCAATTAGAATTTGGTGACATCAATCTATAGTATTGATTACTGTTGGTTTTTTAAAATGTTGCTTAGCAGCTGAATCTCATAACAAGTAAAAGTTAGTGGTCAAGATATGTAGTATGTTACATGCTTATGATACTCTAATATCAGGCATACATTCAATGAGATCAGCTGACTCATAGGATTAGAATTTGTTATTTGCTGCACACTTTTTTAAGGATCTGAGAGAGAAATCTGGAATTTTATCATTTGTACAGCATAGGCAGTGTAAAGTGACTCTGCCTTGCTTACAGTTGCAAACCATTGCAAGTGGGGAGAAGGAGCTGTCTAAAATCCCAAATCCACAGCCCCTCCCCCGTTTCTATCCAAAAGTTACGAACTGACCCCCTCAGATTTGTATGTAATTCCCTTAGGAGCTTTATAGCCCAGTTATGAATCATTGAGGTGGAAGATTAGTGTCCTCTGTCTGTACAAAGTAGCATTGTTAGATTAGAAAGCATATGTTCTTGGGCTGTTCACTCATATTTGAGTGTTTGTATCATATTATAGCATTAAGACACAGCTGGAATGATTTGGTGATCACAGTTGTTACAGATGCAATATGCTGATATTACTAGAGTTGAAGGAAACAAAATGTAATTGTGAAGATTTTTATTTTAGTGCAGTCTCCTTTCCATATTTTTGTAGAGGATAATCTAGAAAACACTTTCTCTGAACCAATTTTTATCATTAAACAAAAAATACCAAGATTGAGTGATTACCACATCCTGATGAATGTGATTTTCATGCATGGACTGGTTTGTCTTTTTTACAGATTTGTTGTTAAATGCCTAGTCTACTAAGGATGCTATACTGTGCACAGTGATTTGGGAGTAAATCCCATTGAACTGTGGGAGTAAGTCCCACATGCAGGACTGCATGATATGTAGGTTGCTTACTTATGTAAAAAACAAAATCCTCTTTTTGCATTTTTGTTGTATGTCTTTCCTGAAAGGTTTTTGACTCTTTTGCACTTTGCTTCAGCATGCCCAGGGCATGGTGCTCCTGCATACAATTTATGTGCATTCCTCTCATGTGCACTTGACAGATGTCAGCAATCAAGAGTTATGCATAGTCTGTATCCAGGGAAGGGGGTGGTAAGGTCATTCTGTACCTTTGATTTGTTTGCTTTGTTTACTGATGTAGTCCACTGCACTGTCAGTTGGGCACAGGGCTCCCAGATGTCATTGCAGGAGGCACACTTGAAGATGTGATCTTTGTCTTTGTAGAAACCTTTCTGAGTGACAGTATGGCTTTTGAGACTGGGCATTTGACTGGTGAAATATTATTTGGTCAATTTACTGGTGAAGTGCTAGTGACATCTTAAAAGCTTTATACTCATTAGAACAAAAATGAAAGCTTAACAGATTTGATGTTTATCCTACTTACTGAAACAAATTAGTTAATTCCATTATTTCACAGTAAAGGAAGATAAGGAAGTACCCCTCCCCCCATGATACCTGTCAGGAATGAGGTTTTCCAGAAGAATTATACTTGGGAAAAATATCCAGTGAACTTTTCAGAAAATTATCTGTTGCCTTAAATAGAGCATGATGTGATTTAGCATGTTTATGGCCCCGGTCACAGGGGCAGGAAAATGCGGGGGTGGAGGGAGAAGCGAGGCTGTGTGCCC